AGAGTGATCTACCACGCGACATTATACCCGCTTTATCCCGCTTAATCCCGCCTTATCCCGCTTGTGCATCTCCACCGCTTGAAACCAACGCTAACAGCCAGAAACCAGACCAGGGCCCTGAGTGTCGTCATCAGCACCAGTCACAAGGTAGGACTTTATTAATATTCTTACTGCCCACGTTTTATCTAGTCAAAGAATTCAGTCAACTAACACCACCATCCCCTATTTCTCACAGTCATACAGTCCACTGCCTACCAGAAAGTAACAATAAAATTAAATAGAAATACAGTAGGGACCTAGTCAAAATAAAAATGGTTAAATTAGTAAGATCAATAAAATGAAAAGAACCCACCTGGAAAACATTATTGTAATGAAGCAGTCCGTTTAATCATTCCATTTCCATCCTGCTCATAGTATTTATGACTTCGAATAACCAACGCCCCTTAGAATTTTGTCTAGTCCATGTCTTGAGTCATCTACACTTTTACCTATTCAATTTTTAAAATCAGGTACCATCTCCATTCATCAAATGTAGTAAAGTTCATCCCTTCCAGTTCCGTGTCCCAAATGAAGTAGAGCTTATCGTATCCATGGATAGTGCACTCGTCAAAATTTTTTGCATTGATTGGTGTATGGCAAAAACAAATCAAAACATGTAAAATGGTTCACAATAAAATAATAATAATAACACACAACCAACATTCTTTCACCAGACTCAAACAATTCACTAATTACTCCTAAATAAACAAAACCTTTAATGAAAAAATAAAATTACAAATAAACTTGGAAAAACTGGCAAAAAAAAATGTTTAACCAAAATATAGGCTACCTTGTATTTACCTGCTTTAATAGAAAACAAGTAATCGCTGTAGCTGCTCTGAATATACAAAAAAACTGTTCCCAATACTCTTCTGAAAAGTAAATTTGCACTTTTCAAAGTCTCTCAAGACACAACGAATAGCAAAACATAGTCTATGAAGATCTAGCTCATAAAAATTAAGCTATTCAGTAAATAGTATTTACTAGGTGACACCAGAAATGAAAAGAATAAAAGAACGGGACCAAAAAAACGTATTTTAAAGTCTGTAAAATAAAATTAGGTTTGTTTACTCCAAATAAATCCAGCACCAAGACCAATTTCAATCCCTATTATCAATGTATATCCTGGTCACCCGGCAACAAAATGTAAGGTACACTATGTAATTTCGTAACCCGATTCTTTAAGTATACTGAAATACTTGTTTTGGCATATTCGTGATCGTCCAGTTAATTTACTTACTTTATAAAAATTAGGACTCTACGTTGTGTATTTACTTACATTGATAATAACGATATTGATTGATTTAATTTAAGCAAAGACAAAGGGGTGGCCCGTTGAGTCAAAGCACAGGGAAAAGGGACCATAAAAACCCTGGCGACTTACACAGTTCAAATAAAAATAAAATACAAAACAAAACATAGTCAAATGGGTCATAATCACAAGAATACAGTATAAATAATAAGTGAATAAAATAACATGAAAAGCAGATAAACATATTTCATATAATTTGGGTGTTTTTATTAATATTCAAAACATTTCGTACTCAGGTAAAATAGTTATAATAGAGATCGTCATTTCATGACGAAGTGTTGTACCATTTGTTTACCTTACCACGCATCTTCGAACTATTGAACGAGGATACGATTTTATATAAATAAAATAAACAGTAACGACACATTTCAGATAGAGAGAATTCAAATGCTTTAAAGGGGAGAGGAAACATGGAAAAAATTAATCTAGTGCAGATATTTAACCGTAGCCAATAACCACACTATGGGACAATTGCATACTCTGTGAAGTGATATAATGAAACCTAATGTCCCTATCTCACTATAGTATCCCTATGTCACAATATGTTCAAATATCCTCACAAAATCAATGTCCAGCACAAGACAACAGTATTATGAAAATATACAAACAATTCTGCACACAGAGTTTATAAGTGGTAATAACATAACGACACCAAATGTTCCTATCTCACTATAGTGTCCCTATATTACCTATGCTCAAATATTCATGTATGAACACCCTACAAACAAAATATAAAACAAATACAAAAAAATAAATATGCAATAAAATAAAATGATGTAAAATACAATACAATAAATAAATGGTGGTAAATATGAGAGTGCTATAGCAAAAACATACAAGCATAGCCTAAAACTTCAACTAAAAGAAAGTGTCGTACCGAACAAAATAATATTTAAACCCAATACAGTACCGAAAAGGTCATTATCAAATATTCAAATTAAAGCGCTTAGATAAGCAGTTTAAATCCAAGTTTATAACCAGAATCTATCAAACAATCTAAACGGCACCAATACCTTACCAAAATATTACCTAATGGTAATATCAAATTTAATAATAATAATAATAGCAATAATAATAATAATAACAATAAACCTTACCCAAATAATACCAATATTATAATAGTAATATAATTGTTAGAAACTTTAGCCTGAGTACAAATGCAAAGAGTTAAAATAAATAAATACCTTAATACCGAGATGATACACTTAAACTCATACACAATAAAATACATTTCAGTTAAATAGAAAGTTATACAAAGTTATAAAAAAGAAAACAACAAAGTCAAGGCCAGTGTAACACAAAATAAATACAATACAAAATATTAAAATTTAAGTCAAATGTAATTCAGTGTATATGGTGACTGTGACAATATAAATATTGGAACTCAGTGTATGTGCGATCCCAAGATATTAAACCAAAATAATGAAATAGTGATACAATAAAAATTATTACCAAAAATCACTCGCTATTTACACATATTAAAATGATTAGGACCCAATAAACTAGCAATGATAAACGTCATAGACAAAAATCCGAATTAAATAATATTGTTCAAAATTATAAGCAAAAATGTATTAAGAAAACGAGGAGTTGTTTATCATTACTAGCAAATATTACAATTTATAAAAGTGTACATACCTAATTACAGCAGAAAATCGGTAACAATCACAATAGTTATATTAAATTATATATCACAAACTTTTTAGTATGCGTATCGAATGCAAGTCTACACTCTTCTGCCTCTTCCTTCCCTAATTCTATATTTTAAACATCTCGCCACTTAAGCAAGAATGTGTAACATAAACAACTCCCTAATATTTCTTCCTTCAGGTACAAAGAAGTGAAATTTTAAAACTCAATCGGTTTTTAAAACATAAAATAACTTAAAACTATAATAATATTTTTAGATGATTATTTTAAATTTTCCTTGGTTAAAATAGCGCCAAATTTGAATTTAAAAGTTATGTACCACAGGATCCTTACAATATATATATATATATATATATATATATTAGGGTGAGCCAAAAAAACTAACCTATCGGATTTATGGGTTAAAATGAACCTACATACCGAGCAAAAAATTTCCCTACAAGGCTTACTTTTTTACACACTTTTTGATTCTGTTGTTGATGATTGTTGTCAATACTTTGTATGTTGTGTTAAATAGTGTTATGCCTCTGTAATTATTACATTGTCTTGCATCTCCCTTCTTAAATATTGGAACAATAATTCCTAACTTCCATTTTTCTGGCATTTGTTCTTTATTCCATAGGTTCATTATTAGTTTATGTAGGTGCTCTATTAAGTCTATTCCTGGGGCTTCTTCTGTTTCTTCGTTTATTTCGATAATTTTCTTCTATATTAGGGTCTTTTTTTCCGTTAGCAAATTTGGTTCTCCCACTCTTTTTTACCAATTTTTGTTGTTAAAGACTTTTTTCTTTTATTTTTTTATGCTAGCAAATAATTTCCTGTCGTTTAATATTTCTGTCATTATTTTATTTATCCATTGCATTTTTTTATTTTTTATTATTTTCGTTCCTTTTTTTCTAGCTATTTTATATGTTTCTTGATCTTGATCTTCTCCTGTTCTTAACCATTCCAGTGTTGTTTCTCTTTTTCTTTTTATTATATTTTTACATTCTATATCAAACCATCAATTTATCTTCTTACACTATGTTCTATGCCCTCACATTCCTCATCAATATTTATGCCAACTTGAAGTTTTTCTAATCTCTTCGTTAACTCCAACAATATTGCCATTTCTTGGTCTTTATGTCTTCCAGATTCCACTTTTTCCTGCCATATATATTAGGGTGGTCCTTATTTTTTAAATTCTGAATTTCAATTGTCTCACCCCCTTAATTTTTTCCTTTTGATCATATATAAAGCCCTGTAAAATTTTACACTGATCAGATGTTGTTAACCCGTGCCTCAAGTAGGTCAAAAGTTGCCAATAATGAAACATTTACTATAAACAGTATTTGTGCCACCGCAAATAAATTAAATTAAAGTGTAAAATAGTACATTATAGACCAGACGGAGAAAGCCGAGCATACATTTCACTGCCGAGGCAACAGCCGAGGCAGTAGATTATGTGTGAGGCAATTAATAAGCTTTCGCCGACGAGTTTTACACGCGGTTTTTTTTCAAGCATTTAATTAAAGAATTTCTTAAGATTCTGTCATTTTTGTTTCATTTCTGTATGGAGTTGGTTGCGCTGTTAGTTGTTTATTTTAGGTATAAATTACAACAGTTTTTTAAGTTGCTTATTTAAAAATGGCTTGCTAGCGTAAATTAAGATCTAATTCATACTTAATAGGTAGCGAGACCCAGATTAGTTGTAGTAAGTTACCGTCAAACAGACAAGTGTTGCAAGTTTTGATTTATAACGTTAGATGTGTAAATTTAACAGTTCGGAAAAGTGCACGTTTAGCAATTGATAAAACTTTTATTTTTTCGCAAACTGTATTGTAAAACTGTAAACACTTTATAATACATTGCGATATTTACAAAAATATTGTAGCAGAAATAGTATTCCTCAAAAAACCAAAGAAACTCTATTTACAGAAAAGTTAAATGGCCTTTTTGACATTGCCCATGCAAATGCGCTCTTAACAATGAAAATACCACAAAAACAAAAACAGTTACTATGATTGATTTTGATGTGTGCACAAAAACTGATGATAATGATGAATTTTTTGAAGTGGAGTGTGACAAACCCGGTCCTTTAAAAGTTCAGCGTGCTCGTAAGACTTTCATCACGCCTAGGTTAGTAGCTGCTTTAGACAGGTGCAAAATAAGCGACAGAAATTCAGTACACATTTTGGTGGCAGTTGCAGAAGCTCACCGCGTTCAAGATTTGGTTCTAAATAAATCTTCAATTTATCGATGTCGACAGCGTTTACGCCCCGAGCGTGCTGCTGAGCTTAAAGGTAAGGTGTTAAATTTAAAAGAGTCCGAACCAGGTATTCTCGTTCATTGGGAGGGAAAATTACTTCCGGCATTAATTGGCAAAGAAAGAGTGTTCTGTTTGCCTGTTATTGTTACCTGTAATGGTACAGAGCATCTCCTCGGTGTTCCACAACTTGAATCCAGAAAAGGCGATGAGATGGCATCTGCTGTAAATCAACTTCTTGAAGAATATCAACTAAGTGAAAGCGTTGAAGCTCTTTGTTGCGATACTACTCCATAATAATACAATAAACATGTTTGATTGCAATCAACATTCTCCTAAACAATGTAAATAATAATGAAGAGACTGATTTATTAAATAATATAGATAGCAATGAATTAACCCTTAGTGTTGTGGAAGTGATTAAAGAATCTGATAAAACCCTTAACAGTGCAAATATTGAAGATACTCATTTACCATTAAATTATATTACAAATAGAGAAGAAATACATCGATAAACCCATGATTGCACTAGCTAATAAAGCAACACAAGTTTTAATCGAGAATGTAAAAACAAAATCCAAAAAGCGCTATTCTGGCCAACGTCAAAACCAAAAACCATGAAAAGACATTTTTTTGAAAAAGTTTCGGCAGTGGCTTCCGAAAAACTATTTTAAACGAAAAGAAGAAAAAACATTGAACTAAAAGAAAAAAAGAAAACAAACAATGATACAATCGATAATTGACGTTTACGTTATATGTGCCAAAGATGAATTTTAATCTGTTTCTCGTCACACAAATTAAAAATATGACAAGTTTAAGTCAGTTGGTAGTTATACTAACGAAACCTTTAAGTTACAAGTCTTCAGAGAAAATTAATTAAGTTGTAAATAATTATTTGCTCTTTTGTCAATGATAGTGGTGTTCAAATTATTGTACTGTAAAACTCTAAGAAATTTGTTATTTATTTAATTATTATTGTGTTTTTGTAATAAATAATGAATATAAATTATAAATCCATCAACATTAACATCAGGCTACTTCTCTTAATTGTAATTTTAAGTATTTAAATCAGAATAAGCAGAGACAATTTTTCAAGAAAGAATCCCAGTGGAAATATTTCAAAAATCGTAGCCAAAATTTTAAGAAACCAAGGTACGTGTAAAAATATTATCTAGATTTAGCTTGTTACTAACATTATCATCATATGTGACCCATTTTTATAAAAAATGATTTATTAGCTCAAACATCTCATTTATCTTACGTATCCATGAAGGTTAGTAAAATCATAAACAAATGATTATACATTTCAAAACTCCAAAAATATACAACGTTTTCCCCCGAAGGGCAAAAAACGATTTATTTCAGGTCTTGCCTAGGCTTGACCCTTATGAGATTACACCCCCCGTTTTCCCCTCGCGCGAGCAGCTCCCCTTCTCTCCTTCAACCCCCACTCTCACAAACCGCAGTCTCCCATCCCTCGCGCTCGTCTAGCAGCGCTCCGCGCTGATCTTGCAGTATTCTCTCATAAATCCGTCGTCAAGGACTTAAGCGGGTCAAGCCTAGGCAAGACCTGAAATAAATCGTTTTTTGCCCTTCGGGGGAAAAACGTTGTATATTTCATGTCTGTGCCGTCGGCTTGACCCTTATGAGAAGTGTCTGGTTTCTGACGACGCGGGGTAAAAGCGTACTGTGAGTCAAATATATATTTCATTAACATAGAACTCATAACTGAAAGCTATTCTGGCTCAAACGTAAATTTTAATAATGCAAAACAGTGTACAGAACAAGGTACAAAAAATAAAATAAAGAAAACTATCTTAAATAGTAGTGAAAGTTTGTTCAGTCAGTTCACATCCTATATACTGTAGTGAAGGCTGTCTCACCACTTCTTTATAATAAAACTTGAAAAAATTTTGTTTGTCTTTCCAATTGCCACTGTTAAGAATATTCTCTAACGGTATATCCCTTTCCCATCTTGAGGATGCCACTGCCGACCTTATACTTCCTGGCGGTGATTCAATGCCTGCTTCCAAAAAACTTGTTCGAATCCACCCCGCAATAACTGCTCTAGAAGCAGATCCTACTTTACCTCTTGAGGATATAAATAAGTTATAAAGATCCTGCCTAGCTCTTCTGCGGTTAGACGTAACCTCAATCAGGCACTCAACCCACGACACAGGGTCCAGCGCACTATCTGAGACTCTAGATAATTTCCAACCTGACTGTCTAAAGGAGCTCTTGTCCGTCTTTGAACCGAAAGCCGGCCAAAATAAAACTGAGTCTCCGGTTATATTCATGCTTTGATTATCCATCCTCAGCAAGGTTAGGTCATGAATTCGACGACCCGAGGCCAGCAACAAAATCAACGCTAGCCTACGAGAAACTTGAAATACTCTATTCTTATCAACTGTGTTACATCGCATCCAGGAAATGAGCTTTTCCACATCCCAAATGAATTTTCTATTGGACATTGGAGGGTCACTAAGGTCAATTGCTTTTAGCATTCGCTTCACCAAGGGGTGATCAGATATAGACTCCCTTCTATTTGGATTGGTTAGGGTCGCGATAACTGATTTATTAACCTTGATAGTACTCGGTGCTAATCTCCTTTCCCGATGAAGAAAACTAAGATATCTAGCTACATCTGTTGCAGAGGGGTCGCCAGCGTTTATATTCAACTTCCCAGCCCAAGCAATCCAACTCTTCAGGGCGCTGAATAAGTTCTTAGGGAAGAATGCCTCCAAGCCCTTTCAAGCAATGACCTATCCTCCGAGGGCCAGTCATTCAAGCAGACACCCCACCCCGTACCATGCCTCCAAATGAAGGTATCGGGCTCGAGGTAAAGGAAGCTGCGTTTGAGCATCCAAGAGTTGATGTTGTAAGTTCAGGAGTTGAAACGGTGGCGCCAGAGCCCGAGCCTTTACGTCGGACCTCCAAAATACCTTCTCCCACCTCGGAACGATCAGAATGTAGACGCCCTTTGCCTTGTTTAAGTGGTGAAGAACTCTCGGTATTAGACATGGGGGAGGAAACACCCATGCTAGGCGGAAGTTCCAAGGTCTGCTGAACGCGTCCGTAAAGAGTGCCATTGGGTCCTTCGCATTCCGCGATACATAGTTCGGCACTACTTTTGAAAGATTTGAGGCAAAGAGGTCTATCTGGGGAATACCCCATTTTTGAAATATCTTTTGGGTCGCCCTGTCCGATAAGTGCCAGTCCGCCAACGCCCTGTTGCGCGACAAGCTGTCTGCTACGTCGTTGCAGATCCCTGGCAAATAATGGGCTGTCAAAGAGATATGTCAGCCTGCCCAATGCAGTCGACCTCGTTCCTCCCTGGTTTTTGATATACGCGACTACCGTCCTGTTGTCTGACTGTACCAGGACCGATTTTGACATCAGGCGATTGGCACAAATTCGAATTGATGCATAGACCGCGTACAACTCCTTTCTGTTTATGTGCCAACCTATTTGGGAAGGGAACCAGCTCCTTTTTATTAATATGTCCCCTACTAACGCCCCCCAGCCTGTATTTGAGGCATCTGTGGTTAAAAATATCTGTGGATTTTTTGGGAATAACGGAGCAGACCTTGCCAGATTCCTGAGCCACCAATTCGCCTCTTTTAATGCATGCGAAGGAAGAAGAAACCGTCTTCTCGGCATCGCGACTGGCAACAAGTTGCTGGCACGTTGCAACTGCCTGGAGTGAAGTCTTCGAAGCGGAATCACGAAAGCGGCAAAGTTCAATTTTCCCAGCGCCCAATTCCAACGTTGAGTATTTATCAACACTTGTAAGTCGCTTCTTATAGAAACTACTTTCTTTTCTGGCAAAGATATTCTGCTGTCCAAAGTGTTCCAGACCACTCCTAAGTATTCCAGCACCCATCTTGAAACCAGTAAGGACTTTTCTTGGTTGAGTATCCATCCCAAATCCTCGAGGAAATGTATGGTCTCGGCAACTTCCCTTTCTAACTGATCTGAGTTTTGGTTGACCAAAAGAAAATCGTCCAGGTAAACTATGACTCTTAGACCTCTCTCTCGCAACTTGCTTGCCAGCCAATTTGAAACCCGCGCAAAAGCTAGCGGAGCACTTGCTTGGCCAAAAGGCAAGCTCGTCATCTGGTAAACAACACCTTTGTGAACCAAACATAGGAATCTTCGATGCGACGGCTTTATTGGAATATGAAAATACGCCTGAGAAATGTCTAGTTTTACCATGAAGTCCCCTTCTTGAAGAAAACCTGGGACTTTGAGGTGATTTAATAATCGAAATTTCTTGGGGCGCAAAAATTTGTTTAGGCCCTTTAGATTGAGAATAGGTCTGGTTCTTCCGTGTGGCTTGGGTACTGTAAACATTTTTGACAAGAATCCTGTGGCTGAATTGGTTTTCTCCTTGGTCGATCAATTTCAGAATGTCGGAATCCATTCCAGGGGTGACGAATTTGTTTAAAAGCAATATGTCTAATATTAAGATCAGGGGTGGTCTTAGCACAAAAGGTATCTCATAACCTTTTATAGTACTTAGAATACTGGCCGCTGCCCCGGCTTTTTCCCATCTGTGGGTAAAAAGGGCTAATCGACCTCCCCTGAAACCCTGTCTCCCTGAGTCACAACCTTTTATTGCCCCCACTAAACACCTTCTTCTTCTTATCAGGATATCCCCCTGTTACTTGCGTTTGTGGTCCCCTCTTGGGGAACTTTTCCAAGTGCATTGAGATGAAGGCGTTTTATTGGAACGGGATGCTTCGGGCTTTTGAAAAAATCTGGGCATAGCCTTTGACCCGCTTGGTTGGTTTGATAGGGGATAATCCCTAGATCGAATAAAGCCGGCTGGCGCCCTAGGCTTGGCTCGAGGGTACCCTCGCAAAAACCCCCCTTGTTGTTTGATTAGTTTCGCAAGAGGTTCTTCTTCGAAAAGGAAAGTACCGGCAGCTGAAGGTGGAATTGATTCTAGCAGCTGAGCTACATGATCACTCTAAGGTTTAATCAAAGACCTTCTTTGCTCTATTATTTCAGCCCTGCGACGGCACACATTCTGAAGAAGGTCATCAGAAATAGATCTAAATGACGAATCCGACCCCATTAACAGACTCTGAACATCTGACTTAATTTCCGGATGCTTAATAACCAGCTCCTTAACTCCTTCTGAAAAAGCCTCTCTTTGAAGCAGTAGCCCATGTACTACTGTCCCAAAAGTCAAGTCCATCTTAATCAACTGATCCTGCAAAGGACTTGTTTTGCACAAATTCGCTAATTGTAAATTGACACGCAAAGCGCTAAACACAGGAGCGGCCTGCAGCTTCTTTTGAACTTCTGCATAGCGAATTCGTGAAAAAGATGTTTTTCCCAACTTCTGGCATTCAACGCCCTGAGCTGCTATATGGGCTTTTGGCGCCGGCACGGATGGCTCCTGCTCCCTAGTTCTCGGGGTGAAGTCCAAATCCAGCAAAGTTTCCTGACCGATGGACGGTGCCACCCATGCGGACTCATCATCACTTAACTCCGGTTCTTGAAATAGAGGGCGATTCTCCTCTTCCTCATTCTCTTTATCGGAAAAATCCCCATCTGATTCTTCTTCAGTTTCAAACCTTCTCATAAACGATTGCATCATCGACTTTAATTCCTCATTGCTTTGCTCCAGATTATCTAATCGATTGATTCGCTTTGACTTCGTTGAATAAGAGGATGAGGCCTAAACGCTCTCCTCCCCATCCGAATCGCCAGCCAGCTGGCCTGAAGCCTCTTTTCGGGAAATTAACAATGGCTTCATATCACTTAAAACTACCACAATTAGCTCATTTGCGGCTGCTGAGCCTCGAATCCGAGCTGCAAGGACTGGCGGACCGATAATAAGACCAAGCAAAGGGGCCAGTCGAGCATCTTCACTTTTATGCTCCTGTAGACCTTCTCTGGTAAACTTGTCGTGTCTGGGGTAAACGCCTGAGCGTTGCCTACTGTAGGCAATGCAAATCTTAACTTGTTTAAAACCTGTGGGTCCAATTCGCTTCCCAACAACTCATCCTTAGAGAGACGAGCTGCTTTCCAGTCTTGCCAACCTGCCGGTAAATGGACTCTGCCAATTTCTTAAGCCTTTTAAGGATGGCCAAATCATCCAAATTATCAGGAAGAACCTCTGCTAACTCCGCAAGCGAGTGCAGGGTCGACTTAGACACCATCTACAACAAAAGAAGAGGTCAGACACTGTCTTATAATACGAGCCCTAGCACCGCTCAAAACAGACTGCCGCCTGGCTGTCCAAACGAGCTACACGGCTCCTATAATAAGAAGAATGGCAAACAAATCAAGCCGCACGGCGGGTCAAATTGAGTCGCTTGGCTGGCTATATTGAGCCGCGCCGCTGGCCAAATAGAGCCGCACAGCTGGCCAAATTAAGCCGCACGACTGACCAAATTGAGCCGCGCGGCTGGCCAAATTGAGCCGCACGTCTGGCCAAATTGAGCCGCACGGCTAGCCAAATTGAGCCGCGCGGCTGGCCAAACTGAGCCGCACGGCTGGCCAAACTGAGCCGCACGCCTGGCCAAACTGAGCCGCACGGCTGGCCAAATTGAGCCGCGCGGCTGGTCAAACTGAGCCAAATTGAGCCGCACGGCTGGCCAAATTGAGCCGCACCGCTGGCTAATTGAGCCGCGCGGCTGACCAGATCGAGCAGAGCGGCTGCATAGAGCGAGCCGCCTGTATTTGGGAATAAACTTATGCCTGTTTCCATAGGATCTCAGACCCTAGCGGCATTTAGTCTTCAAAAGACATATTTTATTGACTCCCCTGTGGACGCAAGACATCGCACAAGAAAGTCACGTGAATTCTGTAAGGGGAAATCGTTAATTTACTTACCGTAAATCACTCACTCACTAACTAAAAGGTTGTTTTGTATTTTACGTCAAAACTCGAACGGCACTCGCCGTTTGCTGCTGCACTTCAAGAAAACTAAAAGCGTACTGCAAGATCAGCGCGGAGCGCTGCTAGACGAGCGCGAGGGGTGGGAGACTCATAAGGGTCAAGCCGACGGCACAGACATGAAATACATAAATGTCTTTTGAATTGACCCAATATGGTTTTGGGGGAATAGATAAACCGAATTTCTTGATCCGGGGTTAAAGAATCAATAAAAAAAGTAAGGAACTTAACCCAATTTTGTCAAAAGCAAGTTTAAAAATTGTCAAAGCATTGCAATATTTTTATCTAAAAAGGTTGTTGATCTTTCCAGCTTACTTGTTATTGGCTGTGATCGTACTACTGTAAATACTGGACATAAATTATATAAAAAATGGCGGGAGACCAAAGTAAGTCGTTAGAGCGATCCTGCAAGAAATGGAATTTGACAGTTAATAATATTAATAATAATAAAGTATTGTGATCTGGTGAATGCAAGTCTTGATTTCATAGTGATTGTATTAAAAAAAAGTCAGTTTGGAATGTGTTAAATCAAGTCAAGTGGTTATGCAACTCATGTGTCACACAGGTATTTGTATTTAAATCTCAAGATACTGCAATTGAGTTTCCCTATAAAAAAATATATGAAATTTTTGACTTAACAATAGGTATTATTAATAAGATTAACAATATGGATATCAAAAGAAGCTAAACTAAATTTAAAACTGAAATAAAAAGATTTGAAATTATACAAATAAACTAATATGGAGCGATATAACTTTTTTAGAGCTAAAATTCCATCAACAAATGCATGTGATAGTGGCATCCTTAATACAAAAAACTATCACTAATGATCTAAATAAATTTTGAAAATATATTAACTCTAAAAAAGAGCAATTTTATACCAAACATGATGTCTTTTGAAAATAACTTATAATAAATGGGAAGCAATACTAAATGGATTTTCAGCTTATTTCCAAAAACGCTGTAAAACGCTTAAGTCAAGTAAGACTGCGAGCTCTGACAATATTCCACTATACATAATAATAATAATATCTTTATTTAACCACATTACATAAGAAACATTTATGGCAAGTTAAGGTACAACAGTTAGATATAAAAATACAAAAATACAATAATAGAATATAAAATAATAAGATATAACATTTAATAAATATTTACATAATGTTAAAATTAAGTCTCCATATATTCGTTTATTGAGTAGAAAGCCCGGTTTATTAAATACATTTTTATCTGGTTCTTAAAATTTTTTACTGTTAATTTTTTTATTGATAGTAGTAGATTATTATCCAGGTTAATACCCAAACTATTTCATTTGCTTTTCTCGAGTCGTAGAAGGGAGGCCTGATTAAGTTTGCACTTCTGGTATTATGATAATGGATATTAGATTGGGTTAAAAATTTATGTCTATTTGTGTTGGTCTCAACCAAAATTGTGGAAAGTTAGCAGGGTTTACCCAGTATTTAAGAGTGGCGATAAGAGTGTTATAAGTAACTTTAATCATAAAGTTATTTTCAATATTTATTTGTGACTATATTTTTGGGGCTTTAAAATTGCCTAGTCCTGGATTCATGCCAGATCGGCCACAATTTTAATTAACTTGGTACACAGATTATTTAAAATAGTAGTCAACTATAGTTATTTATTTGATAAAATTGACAATCAGTTATTAATACGAACCCAAATGAATCCTCGCAAAAATCGTCCGCGCATTTAATAACAGAGTGGATGTCACAGATTCCTTACAGTTTTTTTAATTATTTTAATACCATATGGCTATTGTAGGATTGGCAATAATACAATTCTAAAAAAATACTCGTATGGACGGCCCATAATAAACCTGTTCATAGAGAATAAAACAATTAGTTTAAAAGTAACCAAAAAAATTAACAACCTTGTAAATTCGCGTTATTTTATTGTTTAAAACTTAAGCTAGATGCAAAAGTATTTTCAAAGTATGAAACTCCCTAGTTCCTTTTATCAACCAGTCTTATATTGGACGAATTTTAACCAATAAAATTACAGTTGTCGTTAAAACTATTAATAAAAATACCGGTGTATCTCGCATTAATTTAAAACATTTAAATTCATGTAATTTAAAAGTATATTTCAAATGAAGTATACCCAGTATTTTCAATAATTGTAATTACTAATTCCGCACAAAGGGTGTGTCAATAAAAACTCCCAGGCCAATTATTTCGAAAACTAAAAGTGACATTTAAATTCAGTAAACGCCAGTTTTTAGCCTTTATGATTGGCTTCACAACTGTGTAAAAAAATTGTTTGAATAATACAAGATGTGGGTGGCGCCACTGTGCAACAATTTTTTTTGATGACAGGAACTGTTAAATTAATTTTTGATTAAATTATGTCCCATACAAATTTTTGATAAATCCAACATGAAAGGAGATAGATATTTGTTGTTAAGTTTTTTTTAATAATTTTTTCTACTCCCACCTTTAAAACGCCCTTTATCGTACATGTTTCCATGACACTAAGTGACCTTTTAAATACACATTGACAAGTTGTGGCTTTACGGCGCTTTAGTCACGGGCTGAAGTTAGCAACAGGTTTTTAGTCACGGGTTGAAGTTAGTTTTAAGTTAGTTGACAGTTGTCAAATGTCATACAAGCGTTAAAATAAAGTGCCTTTCTTGTAAAATAATACTAAATGTAAAAATTATTTTATTATCTCAATACAAAAATACAAAAATATTAAATAGTTTCTCAACGCCTATATTTAAAAAGTTTATATGAACATTGTACTGACCTTTTAATTTTATGAAAGAACTGGTGAGAAATTATACAAAATTAGAACAATACTAAAAAATAACTAATATGGTCGAATGAGGTGTTTAAAATTATTGCCGTTTTTATACACACATATTAGAGGCACCTGTTTTGGCCACTTTAAGAGAAATTTTGAGTTAACTGCGCTGCCAATATTCGTTTATACAGTCTAGCTTTGGATGAACTATTTTAACTGTTTCCATCTCTATCGTTAATTTAGTATATCTACATAGAATAAAAAGAGAAAGCATGAATGTAGCCCAAAAATAAATTTATATTGAAAAAGTCGGATTTCACCGGTTTTGGCCATAGGAAGACCCAGTTTTGGCCACCAATTAAATAAAGCGATTTTTATTCAGTTTTTATTATTTTTTGTAATAAAAAAGTTAAAAAAAAATATAAAAAATACATTCTAAAAAACAAATCCATTCTAAAAAATACATTTAAAAACAAATATAACTCTATAGAGTTCTATATTTTAGAGCGTTATATATTTCAGTGTTATAGTTATATTTTAGTGCACCCGTTTAGTTTGGTAACTAATCTTTATATTTTTTCATTTTGTCCACTAAGAGGCCTATTCCCTTTTTTGCTGTTCGTAAACATCGATTTCTTAACATGTATGTTCACCCAACGACAACCCATACATCACCTATGTTTAAGGCTATTCCGTTTCTCATTTGTTGATAGTCTTGACCTTGAATCTTTCTGAACAGCGATAAATGTTTCTAGGACAGAGAGTATCTTAGTTTTATAACCTAAAAGTCGCAGATCGTAAACTAAAATTGTGTAAGATTCTAAAAATTCTAAAAATATTTGGGAAAAAACGTGTTATGCTGAACTAGCGAAAGCACAGATCTTCTGGAGGGGCCATTAAGTCCATCCTTATATGGAAAAGGGTAATCAT